CAGAAAAAATTGGATGCACCGGAATCCAACCTAAAGCGGTCAAATTAATTTCATTAGAAAAACCCAACTTTTTATTAGTTCATTTGAAAGACAAGTCCGATAGGGAGATTATAATAAAAAGGGGAAAGGTTGTTTTTTAATGAAAATTTAACACCAGAAAACAGACAGTTGTTACGTGAATCTAAAAAGAAAGGCGTCGCATGTAATTATAAGTTTTTCTATTTCGGTGTCACAATGATGATTTTGTACAACTGTTTTCGGCCGAAAACAGTTGTACAAAGACAGTAATTATAGTCGTTTTTTTTGGTAACTCATCTCTTAAGTTGGCACTTACTAGTTAGTACAAGTAGGTACTTCGTTGGGTACTTCCATGTTTGAACTTCAAAATGTCAGTCTTACTACGCTGCCAACCTAAAACTTAACGGCATAAAAAGTGTTCCCAACATAAAACATGTTAGTTCTAATGTTCCCTATAGTTTCTGATAATGATTTTTTAATTAAATTAAAGCACCGAAATAGAAAAAATAGTATGAAAAACGCGTGTTACAATGCTTTATTGTAATACTCCTATCTTGCGGACACTCGTGGCTACGCTTCGCGTCACCACTCGTGCCACAAGATAGTCGTATTACAATAGGTCGCATTGTAACACTTGTCTTTCAATATACTATTGTGTGGTGCAAAAACGGTAAAATTCTAGTGCGAAAAACTGTAGATGATCCCATAATTCAAATATCGGCAGTGGGTGACATCGATAAATACATTCATTAATCTTATTCATGTTTACCTTAATTAAATGTAGCACCTGGACAACTAATACGCAGATGACATCTTGATAAATACTTTTGTCCGATAAGTTGTAAAACTGAATTGATATGGACGTGAATTACCTGTTTCATCAGTTAGATAGTAATATTTTATTTATATTTATAACAAATGAATGTTTATTTTTGATTTTCTGTTAAATAATCTGAATTCTGATTTGGGACGAACTTTAATTTTAACCCTGATTACAGTGCGGAACTTTGTACACTAATTCAATGAAATTTTTACATATAATTTAAGTACTTAGTATGAACGATGATAAGTTTAAAGCCCCATTCAGATAGGTGGTAGTGCAGTGCTGTTGCGGTGCTGTGCCTTTGTATAAAAGTTTGAAATAAGCATACCCATATGACAATTCACAATGACATGTGCAGTGCAGAGTGCAGACGAATTGCAGCCGCGTGGCGAAAGTATGTAAACTTTAAACTTTCTGCACTACAGTTAGCAAGCACCAATAGAAGCGCAACATATTTGTTGCTGTTGTCGTTGATTGGTCATTACTTGTGTAGGCGGGCCAATTTTGTAATGATTGTGAAAGCAAATGTCAATATGACAGCACCAGCCCGCACCGCACAACAAGGCAACGGCACCGCACTACCACCTATCTGAATGGGGCTTTAGTGAGCAGTACACCTAATTTGCTATTGTATTTAGTATTATAATTAATGAAGTAATGTTAAGTTAGGAATTGTCGATCTGATTTATTTAGTTTTTATTTAATGAGTAGATATGTGTAGTGCGGCCGACACAAAGATAAAAACTTAACTTCAAGCGTCAGGATTACATACTGATTAAAATAAGAATTTATTTGTATTCTGTTTTTTTTTTGTAAAAATCACAGGAACTGACAGTTAAGTCTCAGACTTTGTTGGACCTAAGAACTGAGGATATTAGGAAATAATAAATTCAATTCAATTCAATCTTATATAGTTCCACTATTATTGATAATAAAGTATTGATTATATATTATATAATCCACATAAGAAAATATTCAACCTTTGATAGTCAATAACATGAAAACGATGCGTTTTTGCATAATTATGTATCCATTGAAAGTGGTAGAAAATTTAATAAGCTTTCATTTTTATGTACAAAATTTTTTGCTATAGCGTACCATTTTCACGTTGTAAGCGAAATACTATAAAATGGGACCTTCAAAACCGCTCTTACTCCCGTCCCCCCTTTAGCACAACCGGTAGCCGAGGGGACTTTACTTTATGTTGATTAGGGAAACGTATCTTACACAATTCCGAAGAAATTGTAATACGTGAATTAGTTCCTTTATTTTTCCTACTCTGACTGGGCTATATTATGATTGGAACACATAAAAATGTAAAACAAAATATAACTTAGCTATATTATATAATATTGAAAAACTTTACACTTAAAACTTAAAAATTCTGGCTATTACTATATGATAACGAAACGAACAGGGTTCTCAAAATGATTTTTCAATGTAGGGAATGAATGATTGGAACTGATATCCATTCTCTGTGTTCTGAATTGTACGGAATCACAACACATTTACAAACAAAATTCTCTGCACACCATATTTTATATGATGCACTTAAATTTCTAGCAATAAAAATATTTTTCATCGTTCCAAATAATGCATTTCCAATATACAAATGTAATGATTATTGTTAGTGCTTCATACGAATCAAGTAGCATCTTTTTTTATTACATAACTCCATCAATATATTTGACAGGCAGTTTGAGGGCATAATGGATTGTCATCTCATTATGCCCTCGGGCGTCATAGACTGCTTTATATATTTCATATGACAGATATAATTGGCATATAATAGGCAAATGAAAAATAAATAAAATTTTGTATGCACCTCGGGCATTACTGGATATTTAACCCTCGGGCGACTTGCAATCCCTCGGGCCAGAGGCCCTCGGGCTCTGTCGCCCTCGGCATAAATATCGTCTTAATGCCCTTGATACATAAATAACTATAAAGTATTTTGATTCAGCCGGATATGAATATAAAGAACGCAAAGAAAGAAACTCTTTTCCAATAATAAAGTATGAACCATTTTCTTTTATAATATGTATCTGAATAAGAGAATTTTCCAACATGCAGTAGCAATTAGCAATAGAATATGAAATACACGTTAAAACAACATTATTCACATATACCTTTTTAAACTGCCCATTATTTTGTTTCATACCTGGTAATAAAGGTCCAGGATTGTGACTAACTGAAAATACGTACATTTACTATCATTTTTACAATAATTTGATGCCAGTGAATTCATTTCTACTATGCGATTATGAACTTCTTTTAAAGGATTTACTGTGGACCTTACAAGCCTTTTAAGTTTTCCTGGATAATTTTCAATTGGAAAGCTTGAAAAGTTATCTAAAACTCCATAGTGCTTAACATCATTGAAAATATGCAGTAGATAATGTACATTACATATTATAAATTGTGAACCATAAATATTCTTACAATGCCGAACGAAATTTTTCAAAAGATTTTCACAAAATTCAAAATCAAAAGCGGAGAGATGGGTTTCAGATATCATGATTGTAACTGCCAAATGAAGTAACAAAAAGTTTTCACAAATTGCCCGGGGTATTGTTTTCTTCAGTACACTGGGGCCCAAATATAACAGAAAAGTTCTAAATTCAGTGGCTTTCCTCCGATTTAGTTCTGACAACCACCTCGGCTTGCGATTAAATTCTTCAGGAATGTGAGGTTTAAGTGACTCTAATTTACTGGAAATAAGTTTAACTGTTTGGCTTCTGTTATATTTATGTCTTACAATCAACTACTATAACTACTAAAACACATTTTAAACTAAACATCATTTATACCTACATTCATATGAACTACTACATCTCCCCTCTTTTAAACAAATACACTTAAAACTGAGTTACATACATGTCATATTTGGTTGGAAATTTAATAGTGCGACCGGTACGTGTAGTTGTGGGTGTATTGCCACTCGCGTGTGTGGTCACACTTATTAGGAATATTTGTCTCTGCATTATTAGTGGCACTTTCTATTATGTTATCGTCACAATTTGGTTTTAATTCAAAGTTATTACTGGATCGTCTGAGGTGACTTGAATTTCTTCTTAACTCTTGTTCTGATTGGTTCCTGACTATGTATGATCTTGGGGAAACATGTCTGTCGATCACTTGTGCTGGCTCCCATAACTTTGCCTTAATACTTTACACTTTGAAATTCTGGTTGAAATTTAGATTTCTTATCATAGTATTGTTTATAAACTTCTTGCTTTTTCACTAATTTTTTATGAGCACCTTCAACAATTTTTGGTTTAAGCAATGATGTGTGAACTGGTATTTTTGTTCTTAGTCTACGACTGAAAATTATCTGGGCCGGTGAAACGTTTAACCCTGAAATAGGGGTGTTCCTATATTCAAGGAGCGCTATTTCAATATCCTTTTCATCGTCGATGCATTTTTTAATAATTCTTTTTGCTGTTTGAACTGCTCGTTCAGCTTGCCCGTTGCTCTGAGGATACCTAGGAGACGATGTCTTGAATTCAAAATTCCACATTTCAGCAAATTGTCTGCATGTGAAAGAATTGAATGGCATATTGTCACTTACTACAATCTTCGGAATCCCATGAGTGGCAAAACAATTTTTGAACTGTTTAATAACATTCTCAGATGTTTTGTTTTCAAGATGGATGATTTCTAGCCATTTGGAATAATAGTCCTGAATTATTAGGTAACTCTCACCATAGCACTCTAGAATGTCACATGCAATTTTGTAAAATGGTATTTGAGGAATGTTATGGGGTATAAGTGGTTCACTTCTTTTACGACATTGATACTTCTCACAGGTACTACATTTGGATATCATATCTTCGATATCTGCTGAAGGTCCAGGCCAATAGAGTGTTTGCCTTGCTCTTTGTTTCGTCTTCTCTATTCCAATGTGACTCGTGTAGTAATTTTAATATGTAGGGGAGACCGGGGTATAATGATCCCCCTAAGCTTAAAATTTCAATAGGTCGGCATCTAAGTGAATAACAAATGTTGTTCCCCATAAGAGTTATTGACAATACTTAGGGCGATTATAATAAGCATCATTTTTAGTTCACCCGAAAATCATTTTTGGAATTTACTAATTTTTTTGAAAGTCTATAAAAGGATCATATTACCCAATAGTGTGAGGTCAAATGATCCCGTTCATGGGTAAAAATGATCCCCCCTCTATATATATATATTTATTTATTTTTTAAACAAAGTAACACAACTACATTAAGTAAAACAAAAAAAACATGAAATTCTGTAAAGTATTTAAAAGGAAAAACGTAAACGTAATTAAAATAACTGCCTTTTGTACTTGACACTTGTACATGATTGGCATAAATCACACGTGAAATGGTCTTCGTCCTCTTCCACCCCTGCACATGCATCGTGGGCCCATCTTAAACATTTGCTGCACTTAATCCATCCTTCTCCATCCTTGGCATTGGTGTAGGTTTCACAACAAAAAATGCATTCAGCATCGGATGCATCACTGTCGCTACTTATTTCATTGACCTTTTCTTTCTTCTTTGTCCGTTGTTTGGGATTAACATTTTCTTTGTTAGCCAGCTTTGGTTTTTTATTTTGTTTTTTCTTTTCTTCTGCCTCATCTTTCTTCAGTTTTTCTTCCTCAAGCATATTTTTATAGGGCGTGCTTGTAAGCAACACCGTACCTACTGATTTTCTTTGGCGAACTTGTCGCTTTCCTTTTATTTTAGGGAGTGGATGACAGACCGTTGGTGCCATAATGAATGAACTTTCTCTGACCTCATCTGGAATAGGGGAATCTAATTGGTTACTTGGACCTGGAAGAGGCGATTTTTCCAACGAGTCACCGTGGTTTACTGTTTCTCTGGCAGGAGAGTTATGTGGCACCTCATTTAGAACAGAACTAGGAGAACTTCTTTCAGCAACTTCATCGTAGCGTTGATCAGTAACATCTGCAGCAACGAAATCCGCATCTATAAAAACATCGGGGTCGTAGGGCACTATTCCTGTCTTCTTGAAAGCATTAATTGCATTACTGGGCATTGCAGCTTTCAGATATGCTTCTGAAAAAATTTTTCCTATTTGGAACACTGTTACTGTTCGACCTGGGTTGTTGTTCATCCACTTCTCTAAAGACTGATCCATATATCGACTTAACGGGTACATTACCCCAACATCCAACGGTTGGAGTTTGTGCGTTGTATGTGGTGGTAGGCATAAAATACAAACACTATTTTCCCTTGCCTTTGTTACCACATTTAAGTTTTTGGTGTGGGACAAATGCCCGTCTAAGATCAAAAGCACAGGCTCCTCTTTTGAAGGTTTGGTGAAATTTAAAAAGTGATCAAACCACCGTTCAAACATGTCAAGCTTCATCCAGCCACTCTCGTTGCATCCAAATATACTGCCTGGCGGAGTGCCGTCCATTAACTCTAATTTCATACGTTTTCTACTAAAAATAAACATGGGAGGCACGAAAACTCCCCCTGCCGAAGTACAAATTACTGCAGTTGCCGATACTCCTCTCTCAGCAGACGTAACACGAGCTACTTGTTTTCGACCCCTTTTTGCGAAAATTTTTGAATTTTTTCCGGGGACAGTTGATACCGATGTCTCATCGACGTTATAAATCTTGTGAGGAGGGAAATTGTGTTTTTCAATAATATTCTTCAACAATTCGAAAAATTTCGTTACAACTTGCTTATTGAAACCTCTTGCCCGAGCTGCAGAGGTTGCTTCTGGATTTCTCAAGGCAATCTCAGGATGTCTTTTTGTAAATCCAGCTAGCCAATCGTATCCTGCTATCTGCTTTTCGCGCGAAAAGTGGTGAGGGATATGATTTTTTTCTGCAAGTTGAAATGCCAAACGCCGCAAATCTGTTGTAGTCAGACCATACATCCTGCTTTCTAAATCAAGAATGTGACGTATCAGCTCGTTTTCTTGATCATTTGTAAACGTTGTAGTCTTGCCGCCAAGGTGTTTAATAGAATCCTTCGCAATCACATTCTTGTTCTTAGCTCTACGCTTCAGAGACATCAAAGGGACCCCAAATATTCGTGCTGCGGTTTTAAAGGGCATCCCATTATGTAATACTTCTTGTAATGCAGTGTCCATGTGTTCTGCATTCCAATTTTGGCGATTACTTTTGCGGTGATAAGTGCGAGGCATTCTGAAATAAAATGACCTAGGTAAGTATAGTTGTTTCCCCAAAAATAATTTAACTACATGGGGCGAGATGATCCCGGGATCATTTTGCCCATTTCTTGGTGATCGTTTTACCCCACAAGCCAATTTAGTAAAGACCATCACCTAGAAATTTTACGAAATCAAATTTTCGCTACGCTAACATACTAATTACAAACTTAATCCCAGGGTTGAGCAAATAACCAGACGCACGTTTTAAAAAATGCTTCCCCTACGTTATGTACACATTTTAAAGTTGCACTTACCTTACATCAACAACTGCTAAAACAAAAATGGCTGCTTCCCTTCGTTGTACGTTATTCGAACTAACAAATTACATTTGTCCGGCAATGCGCCTGTAAATCAGTTTGTAATTATGTGTCAAGTTGGTAGATGGTGTTAGTGGAAACCTTTAAAATGGGAGGAACCATTTTACCCCGAGGGATCATTATACCCCGGTCTCCCCTACTCTCGCAACGATACTGGAACAATTAGTCTATGGTTGAAAACACCCACTCATCTTCAACAGCTATTTCGTGTTGCAGCTTGAAATAATGTTTAACTAAATCGTCCACTTGCTGCTTTTGACTCGGCCATCCGTGAAACACATAATGCTTCAACATTATTCATATTTTCTGTATCCTCGAATTCAGGTTCACCAATAATGATGTCATCTCCGACTTCTTCAGGTAGGTTGTTGTCAGGATTATCATCTAGCAGGAGATCATTTAATATATTTTTCTGTATTTCGCACGGTGATGGGTGTCCGTTTTCGAGAAAACCTTTCCGTCTTGCTCCGAGCTATCAATAGCATGGCGAATAAAATATTTTCTGCATCGCGGATTGTACGCGTAAGAATTAATTGCCCGAGTGATGCCATGTAAAATGTTTTGATTTTAGGATTGATGGCTACTTTCAAAAAGTTCGCATAAACCTTGATAAAGTGTGCTACATCCATGCGGATATAGCAGACGGGCAGATCAGATGCTCTCCAGCACCTGTCGGCATATTCGTCGAGGGAATTGCGATTTGTGAACGCTCTCGTCGCGGCCAATAACAACGCTTTCGACGCGTCACATGTAACTTCTTTTGGAGGTGGAGCACCGGTTCTCATTCACTCTATTAACCAATACCGCCCATACAACACGATGATCTATCAGACGTGTTGCAGAAATGTATCTATGAAACTTTGATAATATTTCTGAAATGTTTCGCAAGATTACTGAAATGTTTCTGCAATATTTATAAATGCCAATATGTCATTTCATGAAATATATCCTGCAATATTTCTGAAACTCATTTTCGAAATATGTCTGATATATGTCAAGCTATATTTCCCACACCAAAAATAGAAATATTCCTACAATTAATATGTGAGTTATAGCAATATAAATTTTACGAAAGGAAAACACCCAGTCTTCACCACATTAATTTAATAATTTAAATTATTAAATTAATGTGGTGAAGACTGGGCGTTTTCCTTTCATAAAATTCCATACATACCACATAGGAGATGGATTTACAATTTCAAGTTTATAGCAATATAAAGTTGGAATTCTTTCGAGTTTGGTCCTGCATTTGCTCTGCTCCACAATGAGTATTAAAAGAACCATTCTTAAAATGACCGTTAAAAATTGTTTTTTTTTAACAAAAGTAGAGAATGCGTGACCAAATCTGTAATAACTCCTATTTTCCTAAAGTAGATATATAATAAATGTCCTTTCAAAACATAGATAGTAGTACAAAATAATGCAAATGAAAGCTCAACTAAATTTAACAACACATCGACTCATCTCAAAAATACTGTCGCTCACTAATCTTGATTCTGTTTTCTGAAAAAAAAAACAATGTCAATTTTGTACTAAATGTTTTACACATCGCAGTGTCAAAGGCTTAGTAGATAATCGATTAATGCAAGAGATAAAACTCAGGTTGAGGTCACAGTATGAATTATGTAAACATCTCACAAGAAGCAGGCTGGTTAAGGTAAATTTAATTACGTGATTGTAAGTGGTTGGATAAACAAAATTAATATTGTAATCAGATTAGAAAAGTTACATTAGATTAATTGTATACCATTAAGTTATTTACTCTATGATAATACTTACTTAAGTTCCCTAGACAACCGCAAGTTTGATTGCGGTAGCCAACTTCCAACGACACCCCCTTGTAAGGGTTTTTCGGTGGGCACGGGGGTAGCTGCAGTCGTGCCCCAGAGTCTCTAAATAAAACTTATTTACACACCAGTTTTCTTTTATTTTGGACACCGTGTATATACACTACAGAATACAGAAATAGTATTTGGTTGGTATCCCTGGTTTTGTTGTCGATACGGTAGTATTCTGCTCTGCCGTTGCCTCAGGTTTCGGTAAAATGGGCAATGGCGGCGATCTCAGGTGTCGAGATGTCGGAGCTGATCGCCTCGGCTCAGCTGTACTCTAATTTGGCCGGTAGCTGTAAGTTTATCGATTAGCGGGTTTTTATCCGGGAGTTGGTAAGCTATCGATTAATCAGGGTGCGAAGGATTGGTACCGCCGGGTTCTATTTCAGGTGAATGACACCAGCACTTCCGAATACTCGGCCCGTCAGTGCGGTATGGTACTTATGCTAGAGGTGGTACACAGGATGTGACACGGCCACGACCCCAGTACACCACGCTCTAGGTTGAAACAAAATCAACGTTCGCAAACTGGGGGAATGCAGGTCGAAGGCCCCACAGTTCCCAGTTTCCGTACGTTGACTCGCTTCGTATCTAAGGTACTGGTGATAGTATGGTAACGAAAAGCAAGATGTGACACGGCCACTACCTCCGCTTAACGTTCACAACCTTACGACTAAATCAAGCAAGCGGGAGCTGGCTACATGCGGGTCACAGGCCCCACAGGTATCGAACTTCCGGGTGTTTGAGGGTTCGTCTTTCAAGGACTGGATGATTTCTAATGAATGGCGAGGTTAAGGGTGCAGGGACAGGTGGGTTAAGGATATAAGCGGAACGGAAACGGTATCGAATGCAAACGGGAAATCGGATGAATGATTATCAGTTTCAGGTCTGGATTCAGGTTTTCGGTCATCAAATGACAGGATAGAAGTGTCTTATAAAATCAAGGGATCCTCCTTTTATACAGCCATGATTAGGACTACGACTAGGAAGTGGAAATGACACTTGGTTAGGTTATCATTTATGATTAGTTAGCGACATCTATTGATGTCAATGTAGTGCATTTGTAAAGGAGCGTTTACACGCTCTATAAATAAAGGCACGGGTACATAGTTACCTTACACCCTATCTCAGTCTCAGTTGCCCCTGGTTTTTGCCGGCGAACCGTCTCTATTATGAGGTTAAAGAAATTTAACTCTTTAAATTTATTTTATTATTTATTATTTCCCCAAGCAATTATGGCGTAAGACAGCAAACTGTGACACAGAGTAAAGTACGCGCTTCGAAGTGTACCAAACGACACGTGGCTATATAATCTCCGTAGGACAAATATATTACTGCTCAACTTAGAGATGAGGTAGTCAATATGGCTGTTAAAATTTGAGATCTAGGCGTACGCCAAGAAATCTAACATATTCCGGATTGTCATGATCCAGGCGCCTCAAGGACAAAATCATCTTCTCAGTTTTGGAGACGTTGATGCGCAGGTCGCTGGTGTTGCACCATTTCACTGCAGAGTTAAAACAACACTCAGAGTTTGAAATTAGAGTGTGCATATCTTGATCTTTTACCAACAAAGTGGTGTCATCGGCATATAATAGGCAGAAGCATTGATCAGGAATGTTATGAGACAAGTCATTTATATATAACAGGAAAGGTAATGGACCCAGTATACTTCCTTGAGGAACACCGTTGGTAAGAGGTAACATTTCACTGTATTGGTTGTTTGTTCAAACTGTTTGGAATCGATTAGATAGGTATGACTTGATCAGGAGGATGCTTTCCCCGTCAAAATTGTACATGTGTTTAAGTTTATGAAAGAGGATTTGATGGGATATGCAGTCAAACGCGCGGCTTAAATCTATAAATATTGCCCGACAGTATTGACCATACTCGAAACACTCCAATGTATATTGGACAAAGGAGATAATTGCATCTGTTGTAGACTTGCCAGATCGAAATCCAAACTGATTATTATGCAGCAGATTGTTGTCTTCCAAGTATTTGGAGATGCGACGGTAGATGATCTTTTCAAATATTGGAAAATGCTGGTAGTATCGAAATCGGACGGTAGTTCCTGACATCGTTAATGTCGCCCTTTTTATGAATTGGTGTAACTGTTAAATAATGTAGGTATTTTTGATACCTATTTTCCCTCTCGCTCTACTCACTTTCGGGCTTGCTGACCTTCAGCACCCCTTTGTATTGTATGTATAATATAAGTTCTCTGTTGACTGTTGTTAGGTTGGTGGTTGTGGAATGCGGCCAGTGGAACCTAACCTCATTAGTTGTAATAAGCATGTGATTATTCCTGTGTTTGGATTAATAAATCATCTTTAACAAGTTAAAGAGTGTTTTCTCAATACATGGTGTCAGGTAAACTAGATTGAGCCCCGGAGAATGATGGAGTCGTTGTTTAAGCCGCCGGACGCGTTAAACATACAAGGCAATCTTGCCGATAATTGGAAAAAATTTGAACAACGATTTGACTTATTTATGACTGCGACTGACTTAGATTCAAAGGATCAAAAAAAACAAATTGCTGTGTTTTTAAGTCTAGTTGGAGAAGACGGATTAGATATCTACAACTCGTTTACGTTGACAGCCGCGGAAAAGGAGTCCCTGAAAGAAATCAAAAAGAAGTTTGCGGACCATTGTGCCCCTCAAAAGAACGTAATTTATGAGAGATTTGTTTTTAATTCGTTGGTTCAAAAAGAGGGACAAACTTTTGATAGCTTTGTAACAGACCTCAAAATTGCGGTGAAAACTACAGAATATGCTGACCCACTGGATATGGTAAGGGATCGTATAGTAATGGGGATCTTTGACAAAGCGACACAAGAAAGGCTGCTGCGTGAAAAGGACCTTACCTTAGAGAAAGCTGTGAATTTTTGCAGGGCCATTGAGGTAAGCAAATTTCAAGCAAAGGCACTGCAAACTGAAGCCTCTGTAAGTGCCATTAAGATGCAGAAGAAGAGAGATAGAAATGAACTTGTGCCTAATAATCTAGAAAAGAAGAGGTGTGGCTATTGTGGCTACAACCATACCAAAGGCAAATGTTCGGCTTTCGGTAAAGTGTGCGGAGAATGCAATGGAAAAAACCACTTTGCGAGTGTGTGTAGGAGGAAGGATCAAGGAAAGGAGGCCCGTACAAGCTATGGAAACAAAAATGGAAAACGAGTGAACGAAGTGAAAGTGGAGAATAGTGATGAAAGTGAGTGCAGCGAGGATAATTTTTATGTAAGTTCTCTAGTGAAAAAAGTTGACGGCATTCGGTCCAGTGGTGAAGTTATGTGGCGCAAGAAGATCAAAATCGGAGGTAGACTAATAGAGTTTAAGCTAGATACTGGAGCAGAGGTCAGTGTAATTCCTCTTAATGTTTTGCATAAAATTAACAGGCAGGTTAAATTAAAAAAGACTAATATGACTTTAATTGCTTATGGTAACTCGGATTTTAAAATTAATCCAATTGGAGAAATTAATTTGAATTGTGAACTTAATGATAAATTTGCATGCTTACCTTTTGTCATAGTTGATAGTAACAATCAGATGCCTCTGTTAGGGTTAAAAGAATGTTTAGCTTTAGATCTAATTAAGAGGATTGACACAATTAATGATTTGACAAAAATAGGGCAATTTAATAACGTCGAGGACATTGTAAGAATATATCCTCAAGTTTTTTCTGGATTAGGTTGTTTTCCAAGTGAACATAAAATTGTTTTAAAACAAAATTATTTACCACATGTTCAGGCAGTCAGGCGCATACCTCAAGCACTTCATCAGCGAGTAAAACATAAATTAATTGATCTTGAAAGCCAGGGTATCATAAGAAAAGTTGAAAAACCAACTGAATGGTTAAATCCGTTGGTGATCGTAGAAAAAAAAATGGTGATTTGAGGCTATGTCTAGACCCAAAGTTTCTAAATCAGAATATACAGCGTGAGCACTTTTTAATTCCCACAGCTGAGGAAATTGCTGCTGAGCTAAATAATAAAGCTGTGTTTACTGTACTTGACATGAAAGATGGCTACTTTCAAGTTAAAATTGACAATCAGTCATCTGATTATTGCACATTTGGAACACCTTTTGGTCGCTATCAATTTTGTCGGCTTCCATTTGGTATTAGTTCTGCCCCTGAAGTGTTTCAACGCAAGAATTTTGAACTTTTTGGAGATATTAAGGGCGTACAAGTATACTTTGACGATTTAATAATTGCTGGAGAAACAGAGCTAGAACATGATGAGGCATTGAAGAATGTTTTAGATAGAGCATCAAAATTTAATATAAAATTTAACGAATCAAAAATCCAGTTTAAGTCCAAAGAAGTAAGGTTTCTTGGCCAGATTTTTTGTAAGGATGGTGTCAAGCCATGTTCATCATACATTTCTGCCATCATTGATATGCCAAAACCAGAAAGTAAGTCTGATCTTTTGAGGTTATTGGGCATGGCCAAATTTTTAGGCAAGTTTATCCCAAATATGTCTAAAGTAACTGCCCCCCTTCGCAATTTGACAAGGCAAGATGTTGGATGGACTTGGACTGATGAGCATGACCAATCACTATCTAAATTGAAACATTTGTTAACAACTGCGCCAGTTCTTGCATTTTTTAATCCGTCACTACCCATTGAAATTGAGACGGACGCATCAAAGGATGGCATTGGGTCTTGTTTGCTTCAAAATGGGCACCCAATAGCCTTTGCATCTCGGAGTTTGACAAAACATGGACACCGGGAAAAATCATAGATATTGCACAAAATCCTAGGTCCTATAAAGTGTTAGATGAGAATGGTGCGGTAGTTATCAGGAATAGATTTGACATAAGAGAGTCATTGAATAGTTATAAGTCTGTTGTAAACAACGATTTTGATATGTTAAATAGCCGTAACTGTTCTCTGCAAGCCAATAGTGACATTAATATTTCAAAGCATGAATCGTCGTCTGACTTAGTGCAGCAATCAAAAAGGTCTAGCTTAGAAATAGAGAGCCCTCTCAATAATGCTCAGTCTAGCTCTAATTACGAATCCGCGTCAAACCCACCTGCTTTGAAATCCAAGGTGTCCGGTCGTATTATTAAAAAACCCAAAATGTTAGATTTATAAGCTTTATTTTAAAGAGGAAAGATGTATAATATAAGTTCTCTGTTGACTGTTGTTAGGTTGGTGGTTGTGGAATGCGGCCAGTGGAACCTAACCTCATTAGTTGTAATAAGCATGTGATTATTCCTGTGTTTGGATTAATAAATCATCTTTAACAAGTTAAAGAGTGTCTTCTCAATAC